ATCACCAATGTAAGATGGTGCTTGTCCATGTAAGGCCCTATAGACCAGAACCAGGATCTTGAGATGAACCCTGAAGTTGACTGGCAGCCAGTGAAGCTGGAGGAGAAGCGGGGTGATGTGGGTGTGTTTGGAGGACTTGGTCAGAAGCCGAGCACAGGCGTTCTGAACCACCTGTAGACGGTTCAGGGAGGTTCTGCTCAGACACGTGAAAAGAGAGTTACAGTAGTCTAAGCGTGAGGAGATGAAGGTGTGGAGAACTGTCTCAAGTTCAGAGCGGGACAGAATGGGAGTCAGCTTAGCAACGTTCCTGAGATGGAAGAAGGAAGAGCGAACAAGAGAACTGACATGAGAATCCAGGGTGAGAGCTGGGTCAAAGGTCATGCCAAGATTCCTGACAGAAGGTTGTTTAGTGGAAAGAGGAGAAACCCAGAGCCTTGGGGCACTCTGAAGAGGGGATGGAACATCTAGCCCCAGGCTACTTGTCTAGTCCTGGACCCAGACTACTCATCTAATCTCAGATTACCCGTCTAGCTCCAGGCTATCCATCTTAAAGGTGCATTATGGAAGTTTGACAGCCAAAACATGTATAGAAATAATAAATGTCTTCTTCATACGTTCTCCTGCAATGCCCTGGTCCTGTAGAATGAGCCCTGGCATTTTTACTGTGATTGCCTGTTTTTCTGTAAAATCACAGAAAAAGAGAGATGCTCGGGTCGAGCAGGCTGCTTCATGCGCGTTCACGCTCAGGCATCGCCCGTAGCATTTGCTATCCGTAGCTTTAGCAGCAGAGAGAGAGGCAGTGCCACTTTGTCGCTGTTCCTAACGCCTAGTGACAAAGCTAGCTACATTTCTGAGGACCCTTAGCTACTTTCTGTACAACTTTCTTCTAGATATTTCCTGCAAATTAGCAACAAAACAGCCATTTTCACTCCGAACCGTCCTTTGGTTTGACGTTGTTTCAGCTGTCATCAAGGATATAAATGTTACAGATACACATGATGCCACTGGTGCTTTAGCTCACCTAGTAAGATGTCTGACTCTCATGCAGAAGACCTGGGTTTGATTCTGGATGTGAACATAGTTTATTTAGAGTTTCTTTTTAGCATTAATGGTATTTTTTTTACAGTAAGACGCCCAAATTTTTATTTGAGACTCACCGAACGGCATTGAATTCACAGATAAAAAGATGTGGGTTCAACTTTCATTTTGGAACAATTTTTCAAGCAAGGGAAGGGAATGATCTGAGCATGCAGGAGGACTGACCCATCATAAACCTTTGTCGGCTGTGCTGAAGAGAAAGGTACAGAACCACATTATTTAATTAGCTGCCTGTCCTCTGTCCTCCGGGCCACCCACACACACACACACACACACACACACACACGGGACTGTCTCAGCTGTTATTTCTGTTAAGGAGTGTGCACGTACAGCATGCGCGCCTCGTGCACGAGCCTACTATTGAAGCTGCCGTTATGCTTTTGGCCTGAGGGGGCGATCGCGAGCATAAAACTTCAAAACTCGGTAAAGTCCCTTTAAGCATCAAACAAACCTGAGGTCCTAAACTGATCTCCATCCCTCTTCGTCGACAGCATTTTTGTTAGAAAACTTTCAGAAGTCTTTAGAAATCTGGGCAAGTTGTCACCTTGACCAGAATTTAGTTTTTAATTAAAACCAGAAGATGCACATTTGAGGATAATCTAGTAATCCCGGTCAGAATGAACTCGGGGGAACTAAAGTGAGTCTTCGTCAGAAGTTGATGGATGGTTGTACCATGTGACCATGTTGTTTTATCTTTTGGCTGGATTTCTGCTCCTGCAGGAGGCTCATCAAAGACATGGAGGCCAAACACCTGAGTGAGAAAGCGGAGCTAGAGCGCCTCCAGCAGGAGGTCGAGAGTCAGCGGAAGGAGTCGGAGGAAGTCCAGCAGCGGATTCTCCGTCAGGAGGAAAGCCTTCGTCACCGTAGTCAGGACATTGAGAGCCGCCTGCAGGACTTCTTGGCTGAGAAGGAGCGCTTTGAAGAGGAGAGACGATCTGAGATCCAGGGGGCGGAGCTTCAGTGCAGGAGGCATTGGAAGGAGCACCGGGAGAAAGAGGAGGAGCAACAAAACAAAGTGAAGCGGTGGCAGCAGCAGGCTGCAGAGCAGCCGGAGATCTATCGTGAGCTGGAACGACTGAAGAGGGAACGTGAGGAACAGAAGGTTCGTATGGAGACGGAGCGGCGGAGGCTGGAGGAGCAGGAGAGGGAGCAGCTGAGCCTGGTGGGGAGACTGGAGGAGCAACTGAGGGAGAAACATGAGGCAGCCAGCGCCTTGCTGGCACGGGAGGATGCCCGGCGTTTGGAGGATGAGCGTCAAGCTCTGGCTGAGATCAGGGAGGTCCTCCTTCGAGCCAAGGAGGCAGCGGAGCGGTCAGATGTGGAGGATGCCGGCAAGGAGGGCAAGTGCGCCCACAATCGCTACATGGATTTTAAGGAGGCTCAAGTGAAGGAGCTGTGCCAGCTTGTGGAGGGGCTTAGACAGCAGAGGGAGCGCCTCGAGAAGGAGGTTGCTTCTGAGCGGAGCAGTCTCCTGCTCCTCGCCCACAGCCTGAAGGAGAGACCGCAGCAACAGAAGGAGGTGCAGGAGAAGGGTGTGCAGAATTCCACCACCACCTGCCAGGAGGAGCTGCAGCTTAAACAGATGGAGCACCGACTGCAGTTTAAGGAGCAACAGCTCGCCAACCTGGCCGAAGACCTCCTCCCTACTCTGGCCGAGGAGAAGCAGAAAGCCATGGAGGTGCTGGAGCGGAGCAGGAGCAACGGGACCTGTGACGGTCCATCAGGACTGGACACCATCCTGTTCCAGGTGGAGAAGGAGCTGGAAGAGAAAGAGGAGAAGCTGCACCTCCACTGGCACAGCGCCCAGCAGCTGCAGCAGCTCCAGGAAACGTACGAGTTCACCACCAACGTGGCTCGGCAGGAGGACAAGGTGAGGAGGAAGGAGAAGGAGATCTTGGAATCCATGGAGAAGCAGCAGAGGGAGGCGATGGAACAGGCAGTGGCCCGGCTGGAGAGGAGGCACTCTGCTCTGAGGCACAGCACCTCCCTGGAACTGGACACTGAGGAGCAGAGACCCAGTAGTTCACTGACAAGAACCACCAGGACAGAAGCTGATCCGGACCAGCAGAGGTCCGCATCCACAGAACCGAGTTCTAGGTAACGAGACGGTGGAGCTCAGAGTCTGTTTGTTTCCGCAGAGTCGAGCGTGAAATCCAGAAACTCCGTCAGAGGATCGTCGAAGGAGACGACAGGAGCGGCCAAACCCAGAGCCTGAACACGCCACTGTCAGACGACAGGTACCATGACCCGGTTCTCTTCCTCCTGCAGGAAGTTCTGTTGCATCCTAAACCTCTTGATTCTCACAGGATCAACGCCTACATCGAAGAGGAAGTGCAGCGGCGGCTTCGTGAGATGAACCTTCTGAACGGCGGCAGCAACATGAACCTGTCCGTGTCCCGCGAGTCCGTCAGAGTAAGATTCTAGTACCTGAAAGGTTCTGTTGGAGAAGCGGGTCTGGGTTGGGTTAATGAAAAACAGAACTTTGGAACTGCTAGCTCTGGAGCCTTATTCTGTCCTCTCCAGGTTGGGTTAGCTGCTTCAGACGAAAGCACCTGATGAACATGAATCTAAAGGTTTTGTCTCTAGAAGCTGAAACATTAAAATCTCTGATAGGACTGGGCAATAAATCAAGATTTTTAAAATATTGATGTAATTTCTAACAACCAAGATGACTCGGTAACGTTCATATTGATATAAATTAGGGACGCACCAAAATTTCAGCCACTGAAATTTTTGGCCCGAAAACGACCCAGAAGTGCATTTTCAGTTTTCAAACTCTATAAAAAGTCAGAAAACTTCAACAGAAACGCCCAAAATTGTTGCTCATATTGAAGTTCCACATCTCCACCATCTTCTGGTGTAAAATGCTAACTTTACCAGGGATTATATTTGCAGCTGTGGCTCCTTAAACGCAATATTACGACTTTAGCGTGCAAAGAGCTAATTTTACGGTCTTCAGCAGGCATTTGTTAGAAGTAGGGTTGGGCATCGTTTGATTTTGAACGATTCCAATTCCAATTCCTTGTTTCGATTCCCGATTCTGATTCTTTGAAGACATGACATGTTTATATGAGCCAGCTAACCACAGGTCCTACTGGATGAAATAATCTTAACTCCAACATGAATTTTAACTCTATGAACAACATCATCACCTTCATTTAGACAAAAACGTGTTTTGGAGACAAAAGAAGGCGACTTGCAGCACAACCAGTGTGTTTGTTTCTGACCACAACCAAAGTGTGGGAGAAGCCTCTGGGATGAGAGGCTAAATGTCTCCAACATATCCAGAAACGTCCAGCTGTTTTCAGCTAAAACTCTCAGGATGATCATGTCCAGGATGACTGAGAACTACACCTCCATGCTGCAGCAGCGTTCAGTCACAACAGGAAGTGAAACTTAAACGTGGCTGCTGTCTGTAACAATCTAACAGGTTTAAACATTAAAACTCAACAGAATTAGTTCAGAAAGGAAATTAAACCTAACCCATTTTCACTCCGAGCCGTTCTTCTGTTTGACGTTGTTTCAGCTGTCATCAAGGATATAAATGTTAGATACAGAGGATGTCACTGGTGCTTTAGCTCACCTAGTAAGATGTCGGACTCTCATGCAGGAGACCCGGGTTTGATTCTGGATGTGAACATAGTTCATTTAGAGTTTCTTTTTTACATTAATATTTTTTTACAGTAAGATGCACAAATTTTTATTTGAGACTCGCCGAACGGCATTGAATTCACAGATAAAAAAGATGTGGGTTCAACTTTCATTTTGGAACAATTTTTCAAGCAAGGGAAGGGAATGATCTGAGCATGCAGGAGGACTGACCCATCATAAACCTTTGTCGGCTGTGCTGAAGAGAAAGGTACAGAACCACATTATTTAATTAATTAGCTGCACGTTCTCCTGTCCTCCGGGCCACACACACACACACACACACACACACACACACACACACACGGGACTGTCTCAGCTGTTATTTTCATTAAGGAGTGTGCACGTACAGCATGCACGCCTCGTGCACGAGCCTACTATTGAAGCTGCCGTTACGCTTTTGGCCTGAGGGGGCGATCACGAGCATAAAAATTCAAAAGTCCGAAAAGTCCCTTCAAGGTTAGGATTAGGTCAGCGTTGGTTATGGTTAGGGTTGGGGTATGGGTTAGGCGTGGTGACATCACAAAAATAAATGGAAGTCAATGGAGGGTCCTCAGTATGATAGAAAGACGTGTGTGTGTGTGTGTGTGTGGCTTTATTTATATAGCACATTTGAAATACAGCGTGAGAGCTGACCAACGTGCTGCACGGCAGGTTCATTAAAAACAAAATAAGACAGAAAAAACAATAAAAGTAAAACCATCAATGCAAGGCAGTAAAAACGAGTCTCTGGCTAAAGGCCAGGCCTTAAGTAGGTCTTTAAATGAGATTTTAAAACAGCCAGAGGTCTATACTGGTGGTCCATATCGCCCAGCCCTAATCTCAGATTGAGGAGAGTCGTGCTTTAGTGAAGCTGCTGTGGTGATGTCATTTGGTCTGGAGGTCTGACCTGTAGCTCTTCAACCTGCAGGAGGAGGAGGAGGTTAGCGACTGTAGCTCTGTTAGACCAGGACCCTTCAGCTCTGGAATCCTGCTTGACTCCTCCAACCTCCCTCTGATCGTCCTCTGGGACTGTTCTTATCCTGGTTTGATTTAGTCCTGATTCAGCTGGGTTCCCCTTTAACAGCAACAATGATAACTCATGACTTTTCCTACTGAAAAGCAGTAAGTCTTGCTCCAGTTCTCTGTGGGATGTTTATCTTCGGTGTTTTTATTTCCAGGAGGAGGAGAAGCTGCAGAACCTGAACCCGAGGAGGCTTAAATATGAGGTAAGACCCGGATCTAGTTCAGCTACTGGAATCAGGAATCCTGCGCCGTGATCGCTGGTTTAGGATCATTTAGCGGCTTGTCTTTAACACGTTATTAATCTGAACGTGATTCTTTAATTCATAATCCAGATTTTGGTTTTTAATGCGAACTGAAACCATACGCTGCTCTGTGGACCAGAGAGTTACTGAATCACTTCATTTTATTTATCTAAACGGTCGGCCTAATCTGCATGTCCAATCTCCACACGATAATCTCTGATCTCACCTGGTGGTTTAATCCGGTTTGGGTGGATTCTGCACCATTCAAGTCCTCCTTGATGATGTAATCTCAGACCCCCCCCCCCTTCACTTGTGCTCACAGAAAGCCTGCTGGCCTAACTTCTCGGCCTCCCTAGACTTGGAGACGAGCTCTTCCAATGTCCAAGAGAACCTTTTAGAAGAAGCAGAGCAGGATCTCCCACAGCTTCCCAAAACTCCGGAGTCCTCGGCTGAAATCCTGATTCAAAAGGATCTGGACAAAAACAGCTGGTGGAACGATGTGAACATTTTTTTAGAAGCCAAGGGTCAAACTGTTTGTGGACCAGAATGTTTCAGGAAAACTGAAGAAGGGAACAGATTTAATAAAAACAAAAATCTCTCTTCTGAAGGAAGGAACTCTTTCTGCGGCAGTTCTGATGGAAAAAAGGTGGAATTTCCTCTGAAGGAACCTCGGCTGAAGGAATGTCCTTTAGCGAAATCTCCTCTGGAGGAATGGCAGCCCTCATGTTCTGGAAAAGTCAAAAATCCAGAAGGTGATCCACAAGAAGAACCAGAACCTTTTGAATCCCTGAGCAGAGATGATGTTGGCTCCAAGCAGAGTTCAGAAGAGAACATAGATGTTCTGAGGAAGGAAGAAGATCTCTTTTCGGAGATTCAGAACCTTGATTTGGATAAGTTTGTGATCCAGAACCAAACGTTTGACCTGGAGTCTGAGGATGAAACGTCGTCGTCACGGAGCTCTGGAACAGATTTCAGCGAGGAGCTGAAGATCATTAATGGTTCTGTTGAAGAAGACTGGGAGGCAAAGAAGGTGTCGATGAGCAGGAGCTACATCTGGAGGTACTTGGATAAAACTCCAAAACTCCAACCATGGACTGAAAAAGGATCCGAACCCTCAGAGTCACTGAGGGAATGGGCCCACTCAAAACAGGATTCTGAGTCCAATCAAGGAAAAGAAGCTCCGGCCAGCAGGAGCTACATTTGGAGATACATCACACAAGTCCGGAACCAAACACTCTACCCATGGAGAACAGAACCCAAACTTTCTGGGTCATTGGATTCTGGTTCTGACCAACTCTTCCCCAAGCAGGGTACAACGGCTGCCAATGAAGAACCTGGACCAGAAACTGAGAGTGGTCCAGTCAGCAGGAGCTTGATTTGGGACTATGTCAGAAAGGTCAAGGACCAAACGCTCTACCCATGGAGGTCAACAACTTCCAGAGATCTGAAGTCCCAGAGCTCTGAAGGAGCATACATCAACCTAAAGCAGGATTCAAAGTCTGTCACAGAACCAGTGGGTCCAGAACAAGATGAAGCCGCAGAAAAGGTCTCACTCAGCAGAAGTTACATTTGGGACTACGTGGAAAGAGTCAAAAACCAAACGCTCTACCCATGGAGAATGCAGGAATCGGAACTTTCCTGGGGCTGGCCAGTTGACCCATCACTGGAATCTTGGAGGTTTGGGAGGGACCCCATCCAGGCCAGTAAAGACTACCTTCTAAGTTTCTTGTCTGGGAAACTTTCTGAGGCATTCCGGGAGGCAGAGGTACGACTCCAAGGCACATGGAACCTCATTCAATCCAGAGAACCGATTCATCAAACTCCTCTTCAGCTGCTGCCAGAACCTCCGGCTGAAGATAAAGTCCAATTGGATCTGGGGAGTGATGGTTCTCCTCAGGGTTTTGGTCATGCTGCCATTTCCGGATTTTCTGAATGGCCAGAAGGTTCTGTAACTTCAGTCAAGACGTCGAGCCCAGAAGAGTTCCACCAAAGGCTGATCGAGCTGCCATTGGCTTTGTCTCAGCTTCAGGGTCTCTCATCTGAGAAGATCCTGGAAAACATGGAATCCCTGGCTGGTCAGAGAGAACTTGGAGAGATTCTGAGCATCTTCTGGGTCAAGACAGCCAGCTATCAGAAACCCATTCCAGAACCTGTTTGTCTACTTGTGTCAGAAATGAGCCTGGTGGTGGTTTCAGCTGGTACCGGACCTGAAGACTCCTCAACTCTTTTCCATCATTTTGACCTTCTGGAGATCAAGGAGGTGCAGATCAGTCTGGCAGGCCAGCATGTTCGTCTGCTTGGCAGCAGTGAAGATTCGGTTTTGGCAGTCTTCACTTACAACAAAGAGCTGACCCAGGAGTTCTGCAAGGTTTTGCTGAAGGCGCGTGCTCCTGACCAGTTCTCTGAGGTGTCTGAAAGTCACCCATTGTTCTCTGGTGACCTCATGGCCCTCTCCTTAGATTGGACCTCCAGTACTCCTGACATCACCTTGGAGAGTGGTCTTTACATCACTTCTAGATTCAAACGGGTCCTTGCAGACCTGATCTACGTCATCCACGAGAACATGGAGGGTCCAGAGAAGCCTTCTCTGGCTGATGTTCATCCTCTGCTCTACACCAGCGTCAAGCTGAGGAAGTCCAGTGGAGTCCAACTGGAAGAGACCATCTTCCAGTTCCTTCTGACCGACACTCATGTGGCTCTTCTTCAGGAAGATGGAGTCTTTCATCCGGTTCCACGAGGATCTAGTCTGGTTCCTGCCCAGCCCCAGTTCCAGGGACTCAAAGTCAGCAGGCGTTCAGATGTCAGGTGTCTGCTTGTGAGGAGGGAGGACAACTGCGTCTCCATCGACATCCTGTTCATGAACCTGCACAAACGGAGCGGCGAGGCTGACGGGACCTCCTCCAGTGCTCCGGACTCCTGGAAACTGGTTTTCAGCTGTTCCTCAGAGGCCCAGGTCCTGATTAATCACCTGTGTCTCTGAGTCCGTCTCACCTGAGCTGTTCCTGGATGTAAAATGTTCAGGTTTTTTTGTTTGTTTGTTTTTAAAAACATTTTTACCTTTTTTCTTAACTTTTCACTGAGATGAACTAATAAACATGTAGATTTTATGCGATTGTAAAGTTTTATTGTTTTTGTTTAGAGTCACCTGGTAAACATCATAACTGTTCTGTCTTTATAACTTTAAGGAAAACATCTTAATAAAGCTTGAGTTTCATTTTAAATCTCCGTGTCGTTTCCTCATTCTGGAGGTTTTAATGAAATGAGTCTAAAATGTGTGTCTGAGTCAAACTTTCCCATCTCCTCTTCTCTTTCTTCCTGTTCCTCTTGACCTCTGCAGCACTTGGTGTTCCGACCCACCGGGTCGAGCTACGACGGCGTCCAGGAGTCCGTTAAAATTAGCATTCCTCGTTATGTTCTCCGCGGACAGGGCAAGGACGAGCACTTTGAGTTCGAGGTGAAGGTGAGTTCAGCATCGCCTGAATGTAGAAATGGGTTTCTGTCCTCAAAGAAAAGGTTCTAGAGAACTTCTTAAATTAGTCCTGAAGCAAAACGACAGTCCTGACCCTACAGCAACAATAAATCACCCAGAATTCGTCTAAACCAGCAGAACTGCTTCCAGGAACCGGTGTCTCGTCAGAGCGATGCTTATTAAAGCTCCAATACACGCGCTTTTTCAATCTCTCGTATAAATGAATGCCTTGTGAGTTGTTCTCTGTGGAGAAGACCTCTGACGCTCCTGCTGGGTATCCGCCAGCCCTTAAAAAGTCTTAAATTAGCTTTTCCAAATTTATGGCCTTAAAAATCCTTAAAAATGATAATCATTAAACAGTTTCCAGAGGTCTTAAATTACCGATGACCCAATAAACAAGATTCTTTTATTTCTATAAAATTTTCGTGAATTTCTAGTTAGAATTCAGCGTTTTTTGTGTACGACGTTGGCGTAAGCGGAACCGTACACGTTCAGTTGGTTGTGAAAGGGGGCTATTTTTAGATGAGCACGTTAGCTGGTTAAGCTAGTGGGAGCTTGCGCCGTGGGGAAGTGCAAGTTTAACGGTAACTGGATGGCTAATCCCACGATCGCGGCGTGGTTAGCACCGGTTCCAGGCAATAGCTGGAAATTATAGCTTAAAACTTGTATAGCGCCTGTCAGAGTAAAGACTCCAAAGCGCTTTACACTACAGTGTATCATTCATCCATTCACACACACATTCACACACTGATGGTGATGAGCTACGATGTAGCCACAGCTGCCCTGGGGCGCACTGATGGAGGCAACGCTGTCGAGCGCTGGCGCCACCGGTCCCTCCGACCACCACCAGCAGGCAAGGGTTAAGTGTCTTGCCCAAGGAAACAACAGCAGCATTCTCTGTCCAGAGCTGGGATTGAACCTGCAACCTTCCGATTACTGGACAACCCGCTCATCCTGTTGAGCTACTGCTGCCCTGCTTAAATAGCTTAAATTTGGTCAAAGTGGCCTTAAAAAAGGTCTTAAGTCTTAAATTTGGCTCCCTTAAACCTGCAGATACCCTGTCCTGTTTCAGGAAGTAGGAATTATCCAGAGGAGTGGGGGCAGAAAATGGTAGGATTAGGAGTCCGATGTTTTTATTCATGATATTTGGACATTTTACCTCTGATTAGCTAACAGCAGAGCAACTTTCACTGACTGTTCTCGCTAACGTTGATCGCCAAAATAACACCAGCCTGAAGGAGTGGCTAATGGTTAGCTCCTATTTGCAAAGATTTGCGGCCTGGCTGCAAAAACCAACAGCCTTCCCAGGTGTGAGCCAGTGAGTGTTTCCATGAATGAAATAATTTGAACAAATAACGACTACACGTAAGCAGTAGTCTGGAATTGTAACCTTCGACCAAAAAAAGCCACGAATAAAAAGACAAACTTGGGTTCCAACACTATGCAGCATACTGCAAGAGACAAGGAAGTACTATGTAATCTGGTATTGAATGAGTACTGAACACATACTGAGTATTGCATTGACGTCATTGTGTAGGCCAGGGGTATTCAGTTCCGGTCCAGGAGGTCCGGTATCCAGCACATTTTAGTGATTTCTCTGATTCAACACACTTGTGCAGCAGCTCATCAGGCTCTGCAGAAGCCTGTTAATCATCTGCTCAGGCTTGTTGAAACAGAATTAAAACCAAAACGTGCTGGATACCGGACCTCCAGGCCTGCTTTAGGCTCACATGGATGATGGGTTTTGCTCTAGGAGCCGGAGGAGAGGCTCAGGGGAAATATCCATCCATCCATTTTCCTTCGCTTCTCCGGGTCAGAGAGCGAGGCCCAGACTTCCCTCTCCCCAGCAGCGTTCATTGTGACAGGATATTTTAATTTGGTTTGTCTTTGGAAACGTTAACTACACCTACTAAAGAAATATGAAAATAGTTTTCAGGCGTATCAGTTTTCCCTGCACTAATTTACCAGGTTAACGCCAGTTTCTCCTCACTAAAAACCCGTTGGAACACAGAAAGCTGATATCGACCGTAGCGGCACCACCAAAACGCTTAAACAACCAGCCGTGTTGCGTTCGACTCCTCCCAGCCCTGCTTGGCGCTACCACCGTAACACTTACAACCCAGGGAAACCCCAGATGTGTACATCGTCACATCCAATGCTGTTCCTCCAAGCCATGGACATTTTCTCCTCTTAGACATAAATTGTTCAACTGTCACCGGGTGTTATGTTGGTATCTGTTCCCTCCTCGAGATCGGTTTGCACCCAGCTGCGAGGAGAAACTACCCACCCACAAGAAATGGCTCTCACCCTAACCATAACCACCCTGTCACCAAATATGTTTGTTTTTGCATAATTATAGTTTTTGAAAGTATTAAGTGTAGCACCATTTTTATGTTTGTTTCTGGGTAAGAGTTAGGGACAAACATTTTTTGTGAGTGGATAGTTGAAACTCGCCGCTGGGTGCAAAAGAAACCGATCTGGAGGGGGAACAAATATCGACGCAACACCAGCATAAACGTCTGTGGTCACCTGTAGCTTGTTTAAGTAGCAGCCTGCTCCAAACTGGTTATTTTTTCAATTAAATTCAATTCAAGTTTATTTATATAGCACCAAATCACGACAAGAGTCGTCTCAAGTCACATCACATAATAAACATTCCAGTACAGGTCAGGTCATTAAGCCAATCAGAAATAATGTTTCCTAAATAAGGAACCCAGCAAATTGCATCAAGTCACTGACTAGTGTCAGTGACTATACAGCAATCCTCATACTAAACAAGCATTTAGTGACAGTGGAGAGGAAAACTCCCTTTTAACAGGAAGAAACCTCCAGAGGATCCTGGCTCAGTATAAGCAGCCATCCTCCACGACTCACTGGGGATGGAGAATACAGAGCAGACACACACACACACACACACACACACACACACACACACACACACACACACACACACACACACACACACACACACACACACACACACACACACACACACACACACACACACACACACACACACACACACACACAGCAATGTGTCTATAGTTATATTGTGATTTCTTAGTAAATATTCTATTTGGTGAGAGATAAACTTTATTGTATTTATCCTAGTGGATCTATAATTAAACGGGTAAACTAGTAGTAGCACATCCAACGTCAAGGAAAGCAAAAAGTTATTATCAGGAGAGGGAGAATGTTTAAGTGGTTAGCAGCAGTGTGCTAGACCAGTGGTTCCCAACCTTTTTCCCAAGGGATCCCGTTTTTTACCAGTAAAATTTCTGACGACCCCCTCCCATTCTCTCTTCCAGTACAAACATTATTAAGAAATGATAAAATTGTTCATGCACATTTTAATATGCTTTGATTCAATAGATAACAGTAATAGTAGACTCCAGTACAGAACAAAGTCATTAACAAAACCAAACAGAGCATAATGTGCTTGACAGTTTGGATTACTTTTCTGAACACATTGTTTCTTGTAAACTCTGATAAATAAATCATTCCTTTCAATAAACGTTTGACACATAAAAAATCCACTGAGCAAAATGTACTTAAATGTGTATATTACTGTTTATACTAGATTATTTACTGTAAAGGCTGTGATTAATCAACCAGTCCTATCTTTAATGAACATTTGACACTTGAAAATAAAACAGTGAGCTGAGCAAAATGTTCTTAAAAGTGTGTTACTCTTTCTGTACTAATTATTTCCTGTCTTAATATCAGTAAACTTTTCACTCATGGAAAAAAAAGTGAGCAAAATGTAGGCTATAAATCAGTAATAAATGAAGTTTTAACCCCTTGAAGTGGAGAGGTCCTGGCGACCCACTGAGAGGCTTTGGCGCCCCCTTGTGGGGGTCGGGACCCCCAGGTTAGGAACCACTGTGCTAGTCGATGGCCCCCTCCATGAGGCCACCACAGCTCAGCAGAACATCGTTGTAGCTTATTCTGGGGAGAAAAACAGAGAAAATAAAGTTAACAGCTGAAATAGCAGGAAATAATACAGTTAAAGAGCAGATTGTAGAAGAAAGCAGTAGAGTGTGAAAAGTGGTCAGTGTGTCCTCCAGCAGTCTAAGCCTATAGCAGCATAACTACAATGATAACTCTGGATAATCTATCCTATTTAGATGGAGGCATGTTGGAGTCAGGGCAAGGGAGAGCCGTCTTTACCGACTGTACACTCCACCTCCCTCTACTCCCCCACTTGTCCAGATTTAGGCTAACATCAGATTTTAACTATAGGCCCTTTCAAATAAAAATGTTTTAAGCCTATTCTTAAAAGTAGACAAAGTGTCTGCCTCACGGACTAAAGCTGGGAGCTGGTTCCACAGGAGAGGAGCCTGTCGTCTAGTCCTGCCTGTTCCGTTTTCTGATTGGCTCTTTTTTTTTTTGTTCTCCCATCTTCTCCGTTTTCTGATTGGATTTTCATTACTTTCAGTTTTTATCTTCTATTTGTCGACAAAAATATTCATCAATATTCGACTCACTTAAGGGAAAGATTGCCTATTTACATCATAGAACCGTGGCATTCAGGCATTTTTGAGGTTATCTTCATATTTTAAACAGCGAACCCCAGCTTCACACGGATTCAACTTGTAAGAAGTGAGACAGCAGAGCAGGGAGGTCAGCGGGAGTCCA